TATATATATATATAATTGTAGAATTGATCATCATCTATTACCTTCACATGCAATTGTAACAAATCCATTGGTATCTATTATTATTTTGCCTTCCTCATCGCGTTTCATCCAACCTTTCATTTTTGCTGGAAAACCAACGTTACAAAGCAGTCAAGTACAATCGTCAAGTTACGTATACGGAGTACTGCGCAACAGCACTTGACTCGCTTGCTTTTCTTATATATTCCGTAGTTAGCCGGTATAAGAATATTTTCCGTATGTGGTATCTTATTTTCGCGCTTTATATCATTGCACCTTTTGCACCTTCAATATTTCGACTGCAGAAAGTGTAAGAAGGTGCAGTGTGTTGTAAATATATGTGCGATCACGAAGCTTACATCACGTCGACGAAGCACATGCACTTCCGCGGCACGGAGAACGGTCAGTTAGAAGCAGGGAAGCAACAAACTTTGTTCAGAATTCCATGACTCACGAAAAACAGAAATGGCAGTTTCAGCGACATCTTGTTTTAAGCTCGTATCGAACGGCGCATTAAAAATTGAGGTTTAGGAATTAAGGATTAGAGTTCGACCAATCAGGCAATTTTAAATTAATCTATTTTGTTTTTCTACTCACTTTGATTGGCTTAGCAGATAATGTTGGTAAAGCTGTGCATCTCAAGCAGGAAATATAAAGAGACGCTTAAGGCTCCGTTGCGACATCTTGCCGCGAATATGCGAGTATGTAAATAGCATGGCCACACGAGGACAGCTGTCAAAAGTCTGAGAACGAGTGTTCTGGCACGCTAAGAATCTCAGGATCATTCAGAGTTCCCGTGATTACCGTTCTGGATTACAGAACAGGGTAACAAAATGTTGACGGCGGCAGCAAACACGCTGTCCAACAACGGCGGTTCCTACAGCAACGAGAGACCGTCTAGCGCGGGCGACGCGGATCTTGCAACGGATCCTGCCTCCGGTGGATTCTTCCATTCTGATTATAAGAAGTAATGAACGCATCTTCGTTTATCTTTAATTGTATGAAAGGCAATTTTTTCACTTACAAAACAGAATAAGAAAAAGATCATTTTAGACGTTTCGAATATTTGTACTGTTACAAATGTCAACAGAATTATTGTTATGCAGTTTCAAATGTTGTTAAAATTGTAATGCAGTTGCAAAATGAAGAAAATTAATATATTGCATGTTTCAGACATGAGGATCTGAAGGAAATGCTAGACAGTAACAAGGATGGGCTTAAATTGGAAGCTATGAAACGAATAATTGGGGTAATTACATTTACAATTAGCTTTTGATATCAATAGATATTCGATATCAATGCTGTCAATAACTTTTTTTTTTCTTTAGATGGTAGCCAAAGGAAGGGATGCATCAGAATTGTTTCCAGCTGTTGTAAAAAATGTAGTGTCTAAGAATATTGAGGTAAAGAAGTTGGTGTATGTTTACCTAGTTCGTTACGCAGAGGATCAACAGGACCTTGCTCTGCTCTCTATTTCAACATTCCAAAGAGCTCTGAAGGACCCCAACCAGTTAATAAGAGCAAGCGCTTTGAGAGTACTGTCCAGCATAAGAGTTTCCATGATAGTACCTATTGTAATGCTTGCCATTAAAGATTCAGCTAGCGATATGTCACCGTATGTAAGAAAAACAGCTGCTCATGCTATCCCTAAATTATATTCATTGGATCCTGAACAAAAAGAAGAGTTGATAAGTGTACTTGAAAAATTGCTCTCTGATAAAACTACTCTTGTGGTGGGTTCAGCAGTGATGGCTTTTGAAGAAGTGTGTCCAGAAAGAATAGATCTTATCCATAAGAATTATAGAAAGTTATGTAACTTGTTGGTGGATGTTGACGAATGGGGCCAAGTAGTTATCGTTAATATGCTCACCAGATACGCTAGAACACAATTTGTTGATCCAAATGTGGATGTAAGTATATGTTTGAAAATATTTGAGGGAAAACAGAGTGTACACAATTTTTGTTAATTACGGTAATAATTTAAAAAATATCTTTGTAGACTGTAGACGAAGATAACAATCGGCCATTTTACGACTCTGATTCTGATTCTTCCAATACAAAGAAACCAAAGTTTACATTAGATCCCGATCATCGTCTGCTGTTGAGGAATACGAAGCCTTTGTTGCAAAGTCGAAACGCATCTGTGGTAATGGCGGTCGCTCAGTTGTATCATCATGCAGCACCTAGAAGTGAAGTGATGACTGCTGCAAAGGCACTAATAAGATTGCTGAGAGGACACAGAGAAGTGCAGAGTATCGTGCTTCACTGTATTGCAAGCATATCAATTACAAGAAAGGTAATGTAAGTATGGCGCTTGACGCAATACAAATAAATTTATAATAATTTTATATTGTGTACGTCATATAATTGATACATACGTGTTGTCCAACAGGGAATGTTTGAACCCTTCTTGAAATCATTCTTTGTGCGGACCTCTGATCCCACTCACATCAAACTTCTGAAACTCGACATATTGACGAATTTGGCAACTGAAACCAGCATCAGTGTGATACTGAGAGAGTTTCAGACATATATCTCCAGCAGTGACAAGGAATTCGTTGGTGCTAGTATTCAGGCAATCGGTAGATGCGCAAGTAACATCAAAGAAGTAACTGATATGTGTCTCAATGGATTGGTGTCGCTGTTAAGCAACAGAGATGGTAAGTTTCTATTAACTTCTGTCACTTCTGTAATATTTTGCCACCTGCTATATATTTTGTCGAATTAAATATATACTTTTTGCTTTTGCAGAGGCCATTGTGGCGGAAAGTGTTGTAGTAATAAAAAAGCTCTTGCAAACGCAACCAAACGAACACAAGGATATAATTGCTCACATGGCTAAGTTAATGGATTTCATCACAGTACCGCAAGCTAGAGCTTCTATTCTGTGGCTTTTAGGCGAATACTCCGATAGAGTTCCTAAGATAGCGCCGGACGTGCTTCGAAAAATGGCGAAGAGTTTCGTGAACGAGCAAGATATAGTGAAACTGCAGACTTTGAATTTGGCCGTAAAGTTATGCTTAAACAATCCCACGCAGACAAAGCCGTTCTGCCAGTACGTCTTCCAACTCGCCAAGTATGATCAGAATTATGATATCAGAGACCGTGCGCGTTTTCTACGGCACTTTATTTTTGAGGACGAAAGTGGTGCGAAAAAGAAGCTTCCGCAGTTTGCGAAGAGGATTTTCCTCGCTCCGAAACCGGCGCCGACTTTAACATCCAGATTTAAGGACTCGGAATACCAATTGGGCACTCTATCTCATTATCTGGATATGCCGTGCGCGGGTTACCGGCCTTTGCCACCCTTCCCAGACGTGACCCAAGATCCATCTGTGCGTGACGTAGCGCCGCCAATTGTGCAGGAACACAGAGAAGAGCGACACAGCAGAAAAGAAAAGGAGAAGAAGAAGAGCAAGGATAAGAAGAAATCGTTCTATAGCGATGAGGAGAGCACTCCTGCTGATGGTGAAAGCACTTTCTGTTAATAATTAAAATTTGCGCGTTTTTATTGTGTATTTCAATTTCTTTGCTTCAATTTCAGAATCAGAGAATCAATCGTCCGATTCTTCGTCCAACGACTCGTCAGACGAAGATAGCGATTCTTCCGAATACACGAGCGAGTCGGATAAATCTGAGACAGGCAGCGGAAAGAAGAATGAAACAAAATCCGACGATTCCGAGAGTGAATCGTCGAGCAGCGAAGAGTCGGATTCTGAAGAGCAAGAGAGCGAGAGTGAAGAGAGTGAAGAGGAGAAACCGAAAGTTGTCAAGCAAGAAGTTAAGGAACAAGAAAAGCCTAAAAGCAATTTTGACCTACTGTTGGACCTCGATGATGGTTAGTAACGTTTCCCAAGAAATAGAATTTAAAAGTATTAACGTTAATTATTATTTATTATAATCGTTTTCAGTTGTTCCGATGACTCCTGTGATGACGCCTAGTTTGGGTGGCTTTCTCACTCCAATTAATCCAACGGTCGTAGATAATGTCCGAGAAGTATCGACATCGTACGTTCCGATGAAAAAGACTACGTTATTGAACAATATCATGGGGCATGGTTTGAAAATTGAGTATAGGTTTACGAGATCGCAGCATTTAGTTAGCTCTAGTTTGATTAATATCGAATTGACGTTCTCTAACGAAAGTAACGACGTCATTAAGGAGATCCAAATAGGAAGTAAGGTAAGCGATATTTCAAGTATTATTTAACACAAATTAAACAAATAACATATTACAGTAAAATAATGCTTTTCATATTTTCTTTTCAGAACTTACAAAAAGGAATGCTTATCCATGACTTTACGATGATATCGTCGCTTGACGCGAGCGCCACGTTATCTTCTACGCTAGGTGTCAATTTTAATGATTCCACTCAATCGGCGAATTTCAATATTGACTTTACGATCAACGACGAGAAATACTCGTGTCCGGTCAGCATCAAACCACCAATCGGAGAGATAATAAGATCCGTGACCTTGCCTGAAAGCATGTTCGATGCGGAGAAAGCCAAATTGAAAGGTATGAACGAGCACATAGCGAAAATACCGTACTCTGGGAACAAAAATGCTCTTCCTCAGAAAGTATTCGAGACTGCTAACGTCGCGAAGATACCCAGTGAGGAGGAAATTATGCAGTAAGTAGTTTATCACAAATCTAATCGCGCTTATCTTTAAGCGCATATATATCTTTAATTAAATTTTTATCTGATTAATTAGGCTTAAAAAGCTAAGTATCACGAATGCTTGCAGATTTGCTGCTCACACTTTAGCGTCCAAATCATTGGTGTTGGTGACAATAAAATTCCTTGACGACGACCAATTGGAAGTTTGCGTGAATTGTGAAAAAATGGTTATAGGATCGATCTTGTTGAACGAACTTAAAAGTAACTTGAAGTGAAGCGGGTGCATGCTGTTGGTGACATTAGTAATACAGATGCGTTTCATTTACATACGTGAGACAGAAAAGTTTTAAACACTCCATCTATCCTTAAATGAAGGTAAATCATATTCAGATTTACATATTCTACTTATCATTTCTACAAATATAATATATAATTAATTGGGAATATATATTGTGCATTTCTCTCTGGATAAATATATATGTATATGTATGCATATATAGGTAATGTACAATTGCAATTTATATATTGTAGCAAATATATAAATATCCTGTTATGCCATCGCGATGGCTTTTATAATAAATTCTAATTGCTTTTTGTCATAAGGCTGCTTTTTTCAAGCGACACCATATCAGCTGCTGAGATCCGCCGATGTCGCAGTCCGCGATCTCCCAGAAATGCAGCCGGTACTCCTTGTGGCTCGACAGGAATGTTTTCAAAACTATATAAAAAAATTCATATGTATCACTATGTAATCAGAATGTGATTACAGTCAGATACTTACTTTTTAACATGCCGCTGGAGATCGGCTTCGAAAAGCCGATGTCTTCGTTCGGAAAGCGCTTGATCACATCGAATAGGATTTCTGTACCGAGACCCCGGTTTCTATATTCCGAGCGAATGTATGCCGTGTCTACTACAGGCATCGTGTACCTTTCCTTCGTCGAGAATATTTCCGTACCTGAATAATTTATGTTTAAGTGGTCGTCGTCGACAGTAATATTTATTCTCCAAATTTTCTAGAGTCTAACGTCACAATATATCCACCTGTAGGTTTAATAGTATAAAACCCGACTGCTTTGCCTTCTTGCCATCTTAGCAATACGAGGTCGTGCTCGTCCACCAAAGCGTATAACGATTCAAATTTCTCTGGTCGTGGCGTGTCGAAGTTCGGATAAACGATCTGGCTGAGTATGTAAAAGATCACCTTATCGCGATCTGTTTGCACCTCCCGCCATCCATCTTCGAGTCGGTCGCTGTAGGTATCGTTAACGTCGATTATTTTGTTTTTCAATGTTATGGCTACGAAGTGGTCGCCGTCGATACAGTCTACACGACGGACATCGTCTTGAATATTCAAACTCCACAAGTCAAGTTGGATTATTCTGGTCTGAACACGCTTCGCGCACCTATGAATCAATTGCGTTACAATATTTTATATTGTCTGAAATCTCTTTTACACTACAGATTACAATTGCAGTTTATGTTTTACAGACAAAAACACGGAGGCAAGCTTGCCAAAGAGATGTTATATAATCGATCAGTTTCGGGACGACAATTGCGGCATGCTAATGAGAAAACGGGAAACGAATAGCGCGAAATTGTAGGAAGAGAAGTTTATTCATCACCTTGAGCATATCATCTTGAGCAGGCAGAACGAAGACGCGAATAATGAGATGAACAAGAAATATTCGTCTAGATTGTTCACGAAAGAAACTTATTTACTGATAAGAACAATATTTCAGTCTATGTCACTTAGACTGCTTTATCGGTGCAGCCTAGCATGCACACGTGACAGAAAACTTGACTTCCGCAATTTTCAATTCTGATGAACAACGTGACAAGCAGTTTTTAAATTTGATCGAGATTTATATGCGATTTAAAATCTGTTTTGTTAATTTCATAGTACGTGAAAGCAGAGTTGATACGTTCGCTATGTTTTTAACCCGTTGAATGCCACGTCGGTCATTCCTTATGATCGTATTGCATTTAAATATATGCAAAATACAATGCAACTTATAATATTTAAAAAGTTGCAACCGACAGAGTTTAGATAGTTAAAGGAGTTATCAACAAAGAGCCAACTAAAAAAATTAACGAGTATATTTATGAAAAGATTTGATTTATTTGCATTTATTTAGTAACAATGCATAATATTTATGCTCTTGTAAAATTAATCGGAATCCTCGTGGCATTCAATGTCGTAATTATTATCTATTGAATTATCCTCATTTATAATTCAATATGTCAGTTATTATTTATTGAATTATTCTGACTTAAAATTCTATATTCGTAAAAATAGTTGGCAGTAATTAGCGTTATTACTTGTCGATAAGGCATGTTTATTCCTAATTAACGCTTGTACTCAGCACAGCTGATAAGAACCAGTTGAGTGCATGATTACACGCTACGTGCACACGTAATCTTACACGTAAACGTTCGAGGAATGCAGCAGCATTATTCATATATCATTGTCGAAAGAAATTCTTGTCATGAACATATTTTCATTTGTCATATCAAAGAGAACGCTGAACTCTTATTGCGTACTACTCAAGATTGATAACTTCACATGTGTTTTTACAATCATTCATTATTAAATGAAAATACATTCTTTAGTTTGATTAGCCGCGGTGGTTTTCAATTATTATTTATGGACGTGACACATGTGCGCTGCGTGCGGAAAATTCTCTTCTCTCCATCGTTCTTCAGGATCCGTGTGTGAATCTGTCTCACTTTCAATGCATAGAGTGCGAGGGAGTGCAACTGGAACGAACGGAATACTGAGCGCAACGTCACGTGGACACGCTTTAGTGGTAGCAGCGCGGAATGCAACATATCATGCGCCCGCAACAGACGCCTATATATGTCTCCGCGCGTATACAGCGTCATCCAGTTGGAGTCGGACGCTGTCCCGGTGGATTCAGCGGAGTTCACCGGCTCGCTAAACAAAGCCAGGGTCGATTCGCAAAATCCATCAACCGTAACGCGTTGAGCCACTGACAGGAAGTGCGCGCGTGCTGCGGTGTGGTACAGTGTGTGTCAGCTGTGTTGACATTCTTCAATGTCTTCGTCGCGGGCTGGCGAGCACGCGTCAGATTACCAGCGATTCAACAATGACACGACTCTATCGCACGATCAGGAAATCGTCCGCAGCGGCTCGAGGCGACGTGAGTCCACCCTCTGATTTTGCCTGCATCCGTCTAGATCTCTACTACTGATACTATTACTGCTATTGCGAAACAGTCTCTCATTGAAACGTTGTGCATGTTGACAGGAAGGATAGTTCGGACGATGAAGTGAAGTGTCTTGACGATCACGACTCTGTTGATTGTCAAGATTTATAACTGTTGTAATGTTTAATCTGATAAAACGATTTTTTCTTCGATAAATGCTTCAATCAGCTTGGGTCTGTGCTTCAATCTGCAACGAATGCTTCAATTTGGTTGATTTATAAAGATATTTATTCATTGAGAAATTTGTGATTCTCTACAGAAGTATGTTGCGACCTTGTTGCATTGGGACAGAGTGCAAAGTTCCATATTTCTTCCAGAATATGGCTCTATGCTGTCCTCACCTTCCACAGCCAGTCGTATAAAGTCTTCGGTTGAGAAAGCTAATAGTGCTAATCAACTGAATCATAAGCACGAAGCAGAAGCAGACGAGACAGGGACTGGCAACATGACTGAGAATATAGTGTTTACTGCACGCGATGCAGTTCTTGATGCAGATGTGCATTGGGAAATGAATTACCACGAGGCCGCAATATTTTTGGAGGTAATTGTTTATTGATCACATGTGTCTATTTCAAATAATAATAATTTGTCAATTGACCGTAGAGATACATACACGGAGATATGTGCAAGCAAAATTGAGTGACCAATTATCTTTTTCAAGGCTATTGTATTTTATCAACACACTATCTATATATATATATATATATAATGTATATTATGTAATGTACAGAGATATCTCCAGTGTATTATTCTCTTAACATTGCAAGCATTGAATGATTAAATAATATTTCACTATATAAGAGCTGAAATTATATAAAATTGCAATGTTATTTGATCATTATTGAGAATGCGTCAACTTTTGCAGGAAGGCAAAAACAATGAGAAGTTTGATTCTCATCCTAAGCGTCCTGAAGACTTACCAGCGTATTTATTAGTTCATAACAGTTGGTACAATGGATTGGACTTATTGATTTCGCTAATCCTGCTGTCTCTGGCATTCATAGAAGAACCTGCTTTGCCATTGTTCAGAGTATGCTGTACAATACGCAAATATACAACACACAATTCTCTTTACTGAAATTTTTCATTCATATGTTTTGTTGCAGGTACCTGTGTGGGTGCATGGTTCATTAGAACTGCTTGCCTTAATTACCATTGGCGTGGAATTAGCTTTGAAACTGAGATGGACTGGTTGGGCACCTATGCTAAGACACAAACGTACCATGCTGAAAGTAAGATTATCTCTAAATCTTGAAATCTACGCAGCTGAAAAAGCAGAATGCGTCAATAGTCTGCTAATGTGCTTATAGAAAACACATGTTGATAGAAAACAGATTATTTACATAATCAGATCATCTGAATAGTTACTCGTTCGTACACTTGCGCTCGATAATTATTGTGATGATATAAGAGTATCAGACAATAGTCGTGCATTCGTTAACGATCAACGGCCGCATCGTCCAGCTGAGTAATGAGTATTGCAAGGAATATGCAACGACTTATTAGCTTACTTACATAATGAGCTATTGAGCACAATGTCAGACGCGTCGCAATACACTTCATGAAATGCAAATGAATAGATGACGCACGATTTTTAACGGAAAGCACGACTCGATCGGCTTTAGTCGTTTGATCGGGTTATTGACTTTCTACAATTGTTATATCTTGATTTCTGTTTCAGTGCACAACATTAGCGATTATGTTTGTGGAAGCGTTGACAGTCCTGGTGCGGCAATCCTCGCATTTCCGCGTGACGCGCGCGCTGAGACCTATCTTTCTAATGGATACGAAATACTGCGGGGGCGTAAGAAGATTTATCAGACAAATACTTCTCACGCTACCGCCCATTCTGGACATGTTGGGACTTCTTTTCTTCTTTATTATCGTGTACACAGTATTGGGTTATTATATGTTCAGTGAAATAAACGGGAATTTTTCCACACTGCTAGATAGCTTTGTCAGCCTATTCGTTCTTCTTACCACTGCGAAGTGAGTGAACAGAAATTATATGTAATTAATTTGCATTATGTCTAACTAATTAACAATATTATTTGTAGCTTCCCGGACGTAATGATGCAATCTTTTTCACAAAATAAGTGGTATGCGATATATTTCGTGTCCTACTTATGTACCATGTTGTACGTGATGATGAACCTGATGTTGGCAGTGGTAAACGAGACGTTCACGTTTCGCGAACGTGATAAGTTCAAGAAGTTGTTTCTGCACAAGAGAAAGGCATGTCAGCACGCCTTCAAGCTTTTAGTCTCCAAACAGAATCCCGATAAGATGCGTTTCCGTCAGTTCGAAGGTCTAATGCGATACTACGCCCCGAATAAATGTTTGTACATAAGATTATTTTTCTCTGATAAAATTCCTCCAACAACTATCGCTCTATTGAATATGCACGCACAACTTTCATATAATATTAAAATAGTGAAAGCGAGTTTATGGTGCCTGACATACATTACATTATGTATTTAATCGAAATTATTTTATATCTGCAACAATTTTACAGGCACGCGAGACGTTGTTTTAATGTTTTGTCACATGAACACGTCGGGAACTGGCGCCTTAAGTTCCGAGGAATTCTTTTCAATTTATGACGCCACAATGCTTCAATGGGACTTGCAATATTCTACTATACCGTGGTATCGCACCGCATGGTCGCCACTGCAGATGTTTTGCATGGGCGCCCACACCTTTATCAACTGGCCGTATTTCGAAACGTTGGTGTGTAAGTAAATGGCGAGTTTGAATTATTAGGGGCTCAAGGAAGCATTGTGTATCACCGTTCGTAATTTCGCAGATGTGATCATCGTCGGTAACGGCATCGCCATGATAATAAGAATCGTACAACCGAGCAGTAGTATTGCGGAATCGGTGTATCGATTCGCCGCGTGTTGGGATACTTTGCTGTTTGGAGGACGTGAGTAAAAATTTGTCGCAACTAAAATGTATATTTTGAAAGGAAAAAAAGAATCTATGTTTAAAGACACAAATATATTTATAGTTTTCATAATCGAGGCATTGGCGAAAGTGCTCGCTCTCGGTACTAAATGTTATCTAAGCTCCGGATGGAATCTCTTCGACTTGGGAACATCAGTAATGACGCTCGTCGCGGCGTGTGGCCTCTTTCTCTTCCCATCGGCTACATTCCTGGTTTTATTCCGGCCTCTCAGAACGCTAAGATTGTTCAAGATAAAGAAACGCTATCGAGACGTTTTCGGTACTCTCGTAATTCTGATTCCCCAGATGTGTTCGACGGCGATGGTCATGTTGGTGTTGTACTACTTTTTCGCGATTATCGGAATGGAACTGTTTGCCGGATACGATATGCGGAATTGCTGCAAGTTAGTATGCAAAAAAGTCAATTACGATAATTAAACAAGTGAATTATATTTTTTTATTTTTAACTTCTTTAATTATTTTATCAATTTTTTAAAATATTCTTCATAGGAATACAACTGTTGAAGATTTTTACGAGTATTCCGCGAATGGAAGCACAGCCCTGGGATATTATTATCTTAATACTTTCGATAATCTCTTAGCAAGCGGCATGACGCTCTTCGAATTAACAGTTGTCAATAATTGGTTTATACAAATGAATGCATACGCATTCACCGCGGGCTTGTACACGAGGATATACTTTATGATATTTTATTTAGTGACTATGATCGTATTGACTATCGTGGTGTCCAGCTTCTTGGAAGCTTTCCGATTTAGGATACAGTATAAAAAAACAACATCGAAACATGACGGTAAATATACACTTAACCAGTGAAAGTTCATACAAAAAATTTTTAATTTTTGATAATATACACGTTCCTCTATATTTTCAGAAGAGAAAATGCTTCACGAAGAAGTGGAATTAAAATGGGAGGAGTTGCAATGCATAATCGAAGATTTTCATCTTCTGGAAAATCTGCGCAGTGCTTTATTCGTTGAAGGAAGCACTCTATTTATTGGCTCGCGAACGCGAACACGAGAAGTTTTACAGAGAAAAATGTATACACACGAGATAAATGAGTGGATAGCTGAAATGAAGTTAGAGGAAAAACAAACTGTATCTAATCTAACATTCAACGCAGAAGAGGCTAGCGGCGACATTACGGTCGATAGCGATCAACTTATAATGAATGGCAATTTGCGTCAGCAAAGTAGTAATATATCTAATTGATAAAAGTAATAACATCATTTTTAGATGATATTAAGAAAATTAATTTATAATTCCTACTTACATCTGTGTAAGTGCATTTATTCGTGTGCCGCACGATAGTGCATTTATTCGTGTGCCGCACAACACGTAGTTTATCTAGAAACTAAGAAATATAATTTGATAGTAAGGAAAAAAATGTACTGATATACTAGATCGAAGATGTTTTCTTAGTGATTAGTAGAATTCCAAAAGGTACGATTAATTATTACACACCAAGTGTTTCAATGCAAACAAGCGACTTCCTTTATATATTTTGATATTACAAATTTAAGCATTACATCAAAATTTCGTTCTACTTAGGAAGCATTAGTTTTCTTACTCTTTTTGATGCGTATTGTAGGTTTGCAGTATAATAGTTTACGTAACATCTTTAAATATTTTGATATTTATATATGTTAAAGCACGTTGATACTGATTATTAGATACTGATTATAAGATACATCGTACACAATACTCGTACATCGGATCGTGTTATTTTTATATAATTTTTCCTAAAATATAGGCAGCGCTGTTGTTGTTTTATAGGTAGCTTTATGAATCGCATCACACACTGTACGAATTTAATTCGATTAAGTTATATCGCCGGCTCGAGGGATTCAAGGCAGGATAATCTTGCTTCTATTAACTTTTCTTTTTACAAATTGACGACATTTCTAACTACGAAATGTAAAGATGGAGCAAATATCCTTTTTTCTCGGACCGGCACCGTGCATCGTCGGCACAGTGACAGTAATTTATTTCATAGAAGTAGACATATTTGATATCGCTATGTATTATCAGCGCGAAGAAATATTTTATTGTTAACTTCCCATTTATAATGTGATACTTCGTGTATTATATTTATTTAATATGCATTCCATTGCCCTTTATTGTACATAATACATTATAAAACTATTTTCTTCTTCCATTTGTAACATTACTCGTAATCAAACAACTGAACTTAATTCATTAATGATACTTAATTTTCCATATTAAATTGATTTGATTATTCATATTAAAATCTTACCGTATTATTCAATCCTCACTCCGTTGCAACCTAGACTGGTCGTTGTGACGCTAAAACCCTCTGCGATTAACTGTTCAGAGAGATTCGTGATACGTTCTGCCGGCGTGTGCGGCAGCAGCAAAATGTATGCGTATCCACCTCCACCTGCACCTGTGAGCTTCCCCGCGAATGCGGAAGCTCGTGCGATTGAGCAAATAACATCCAGCTTCAAGTGCGACACATCCAACGCGCTTAGCAGTCCTTGGTTCATGTTTATAAGAGTCTGTAAAGTGTACAACAAGTTTCTAGCTGATTGTACATCGGAATCTTACGGCGCAATATAAAAGTGCGTAAGTGTTGAAGTTTGTAGAATGAGACTTACCAGTAACTTCTTGTATTCTTCCAGAAGAGCTGCATCGTTATCTAAGTTGTCGCGAATTCTGCCGATCACTTCAAGAGCCGTCCTCGACAGAACGTCGATGCTGTCCAAAACGGGATCGATTATTGCCGGATACAGTTGTCTCAGATCCGCCACTCGCTTCACCTGATCCTTCGTATTGCGGCTGATCTTCGAGTTGACCAGCAGGATCTTCATGCTCGGCATTTCAGGCAGCACATTCACCGGCTCACCCCGTCGGAATTCTATTATCGAGCCGTAAGTGCACACGCTGTTGTCGATACCGGACGGAGAGCCGTGTATGATTCGCTCGCAGTTCAGAGCGTACTTTGAGATCTTCTCGAGATCGTCTCTGTCGAAAGGACCTACAGCAGCCTTCTGCAGACGCGACCAATGCAGAAAGCATGCCGCGAGACACACCGCGAACGACGCCGAACTGCCCAATCCCGCGCTGATCGTTAACCGCGTGCTCAAGTTCACGTGGAAAGGTTTTATATCGATTCGCTCTTCGTGGCCGACGTAAAGGAGCAAGTAAAAGAACGCATGTACGCTTAACTTCTGCTGATTCGTCGGAATGCGTATGCCGCACGAACTATCCAGCGAGGCGATGAACTGCTCCACTTGTTCGTGTAATAGCGAGTCATTATTTTCGCCGATTCTGTAATGGAAATTATCGTCATAGAAGTGGTCCAGGAACAGCTGTAAAGGCAGGTCCAGCTGTAGATCCATATCGGTAAACTCTATTTTGATAATATCTTTTGAATCTGATTTGGGTAGTTCGGCGAATGCAACTGTGGTGCGCAAATCTAAGCTAGCTGCCAGAGCAGTTTTCCCGTACACCACCGCATGTTCTCCATGCAGGATCACCTTGCCCGGTGCGGATATTCTGAACTCGATCATTTTTTTTCCTTTTATGAATAAATAAAAGTGTGCTAATAATCGAGCAATCGTAGAAAATCAGATACGTGCCGTAGTTCTCACGAATATTTATTAGAACCACAAAAAATGCAACGTAAAGATTATCCAGATAATATTTATCACTTTTTCGTGTTATATAAATTAGAAGCAACACTGATTGTATAACTCGTCATTAAGTCTGTTTTTTTATCAATTTCTTGCATAAATCTAAAAAACTCGAGTAATCAAGGTTTCCTTTTTTCCCATTGTTCTGATGTTAATGTTGTCAGCGAAATAGCATGAATAGTTTTCATTTCTTCCTCCAAGACTCCATGCACAAGCCTGAATTATACATTGAAATTGAAATTACATCGAAAGTTTATAATAATTTTTGAATGCAAAATGTTAAAATGCATATTTGCACTTAATCTGAAAAAGATATGTTACCTGTGACGTTGCAAAGAAGGTTTTCCTTGGAATTGATCAGAGACAACAACTACTAAAAACTTAGCTCCGCAACCGTCAGATTGATCTACCACTTCCTGTAACACACAATGTACTGCAAACAATATCTCTCTGGAGCAAAGGATAGTTCAGGAATACAGAAAATAGTAATATTCGCTGTGTGAAATATAGCTTGCAACGACAGTTTTACCCTGCAGAATCAGTTTGCGTAGAATAATCCACTGAAAGTATAGTTTGCTAGCTGATAATTTTTTTTGTATGACTACAGTTTGTTATGGAAATGTGTTATTGGCGTTTTATGTAAATTAAGATAAAAAAGACTAAGTTTGCAAGGAAACTTCGAAACTGTAGATACATATCTTATTTTAAATATTATAATACGCAGCATATGAATGAGACATGATAAAATATGTTTTCGAGAAGATGCAATGGTTTCAATAAAGATCAATATTATTTTTATATATGTATTTATTATTCATAGTAATTTACATATTTTGTTTTCATCAGCTGTGTCATTTAATGTGACTTAACTTTATTTGTAAAACCTTTTTTTCTTGTTGAGAATAATTGGACATAATTAAAATACGCAAAGAAGATTAGAAAATGCCCGCATGAATATATCGATACTAGAAGCGGAAGTAGATCGGGATATCTTTCGGGAGGTTTTACAAATTTGCTGAGAATGGAGAGAAGTAATATACCTAAAACAGATCCGTAAAATGCAAGGAGAAGCCAAAATTTTTTATCGTAGCCCGGCAAGTTCAAGACAGATTTATTTTTCTTATGTTGTTGCACTCTACCGCCTTTCTTCAATTTTAATTTGCTTTTATTTAATAAATTGTTTGTTTTATGGTTGTAAAATATATCAGGCCACATCCAAAATACGGAACAGAAATAAAAAACCATTGTGCCAAGATAAGCAAAATAGAGATCATCTTTTATAAACAGTGGTAGCATACTGAAATGCGAGGTGATCAAGAACCAAAAACAAGGAAGAGGATCATTATGAAAGTGCAGTAAGACCGGTACAGCAACTAAAAGAATGGACTTCTCGTGAACTTGAAATGAGAAAAGGAAGAATGCTAGAGCGGAATTGATCAGGGAAACTAAGAATGCATTTTTAGTAGGTAACAAATATAAATTGATGCAACTTGGCAAAGCTGCACATGTTGTTACCAGTAGACAAATCTTAGCTAATTGCGCGTTTGTAAAAATTTGCCGTAATTTATAAACAACATTGATTACGCACCATACGTTAGCGACTTTGTCTTCAAATACACCTCTGGAAAACGGGAATAATCTGAGCACTGCACTAAAAAATACATCTTTGTTTTTGAAAAATGGTATCCAAATAATAAAAAACGTTAACAAAACCGCAAGAGAGACACATATCAACATGCGAATGCAATGAACCCAAGATTTTGCCTTATTGGGTGTATAATTTCCAAGTATGTAAAAGAAAAAAGGCAAAGCGTGATACAACTCCATTTGCTTGTAGTTCAGTGCTAAAACGAATAAAATTGAGCCAAGGATGAATGAATCTTGCATTATAGCAGCTACAGCGGCGACAAAGAAACCCAGTGACACACAATTGTATTGAAAATGTCCATGATCTATCAATATCAATCCTGGATAAATCAGTGCTGTCAGAAGGATGGCATCTCTCTTGCTAAACTTGAATATATTGGATTCATTAAATTGACAATTGCTCCATGAACGCAAATTGCTTACAAAATATATAAATGCTGGTATATAGATCAGTATGTCTGCGATTAAGACGGTGAGTCTCATGAAATACTTATGCTCCTCAGTTTCGAGTCCTCTGGACTCGTGCAATCTTACAAAGGAAGGATTTATTCTATTCGCAATGTAACCCAACAGAAGACTGTGGTATGCTGTCAACGGTGGATAATCTAATCCCCAATATTGTAGATCGTTATCTGTGGTATTGATGTACCACTTGTCAGGGGGTAGATTTAATGTGATTTCTTGCCAGTGCCGTTGTGCTTCATAATCTCCATACATGGGAGGCTTGTCTTCTCCGCTGTGGGAATGGTAAGTAATGCAGCATCTCAAGAGAACGGCAAAAGAAGAGATCAAAGCGAGCTGCAGTTTCCCTTGCATTCTTCCTTATGCGAGGCCTCGCAGTGCGATTACTTCGAAATCTATCTTCAAATCGAAACTAGCCGGCAAGAATTTCGAGAACGAGCCCTGGCAAAATGGCATTTTATCATGCGTGTGGCATTACGGAAAGAAAAAGGGGAAATAATGAGAGATAGAACGCCGGTTTACGTACCACGTGTGAAGCTTTCAATCCTTCGGTTACTTTGTTCTTAATATGTTCCTCGCTATATGGCATATTCAGGCGCGGTTTCTTGTATAATTGTATCTGCTGTTAAATGAGGACTCGAATATTGTAGACGTTTCAGCCACGTCTGCAGAAATTTGTAATCTCGGTTCTAATTCATTCCGGCACAATTTATTTTTGGTGTCGATGGTGTCGATTATTGACAACGAAACTTCGCACACAAAGCGCTAACTATATTCATCTTTTGGAACCTCGTAGCTGGTTCTTCTCTGTCGGTAACATCAGTAACGTAGATAGGAACAGATGTGGTTCGCGTCTGGTTATATGTACAAATGATCAATATGCAATTGTACAAGTATTTTTATAAAAAACATATAATATACTCTCTGAATTTTCATTTCAAAATTATATAAAAGTGGAAAAACTAGTTTTCTATTATTATTCGGAATGGCAGTTTTGACAGATAACACCGAGAGACTTGGAAGCATGCCAACGCTACTGTGCGTCTTATGCCATCGCGCATCTATCGGCATTTTCAGGAAGCACTCGTGACCAATGTGAATCACAATTCGGAGTGCACACCTCCGTCGACGGGCCAATCGACGTCACGGAATCACGGCGGCATTGGCGGTGAGCGCGTTAATCGGGGACGAGGCGCGACGGCGAATTCTGGACGGCGCGGCGTGTTATATTTAAGCCATCCGCGGATCTGGCACCCACGGTACGTAGTCGGACTTGTGTCCCCGGTGGACGAAAATCAATATTTCCGTCGCGTGGTGAGGTAAAGAACACAGCGGCTGCGGTCGCCATTGCCGTGCCATTACTCGCGCCGTGCCCTCTTTCTCTCTTGCTCGTCAAATCTCACATCATCCCGGCGACGACGTCAACGACGCGCGAACGGTGTCCGCCGTCACCGGTCAGTCGCGCCGCGTCGCGACTCTCGCGTATATTTTCTGGACACGCCGTCGTGTGTGCTACAAGAGGACCAGAAGCAGCAGTAGCAGCAGGCAGCACCCCACCTCTCATCGTGCTCGATAGCTTCGCACGAGAACCTCATCCGCCTCTGTTATTAAGATCCCGGACTTGATCGCGATCGGTTCGATCCATTCTGAATATTGTCATCGGTGAGTCGATCGTCCGTGTGACCGTCGCGATTCATCGTTCGTTCCTTCTCTTTCTTCATCCTTACAGTCCTACTCTCCCTTCCATCCTTTCGTCTACTTTCTCGTCCTTCAACGTTCCGTCCGTCAACCTGAAAGGGAGCCAAGCTAGCCTCGGTGAGAAGACGGTCGCAAGCGCGATATCCCGTTTCGGTGTCGCGTCGCCGACGGTCTCCCTAGCTCGCTAATTTGCCCTCCTCCCTTTCACCTTTCCGTCTCTCCTCGCTCTTGGTCGCCGAAAACGATGGCGTTTCTGAGAAGCGTGTCGCGACGATGTTGCGCCGGCAAGAAGCTGACCAAGTGCGGTGCGTCGCCGCTGGCCGCGACCGGCCTCCTGGAGTACGCGACGGCAATGGCACCGATGACGACGGCGACGACGGCGGCGGTGGTGACGAGGACACCGTCATTACGGCTAGTTACACAGGTGCGTGGTGACACGCGAGGATACGCCACCACCGCTGCCACTGACATCAAGAAGCAGCGGCAACAGCAATCGGCGGTGCCGCGGCAGATCGACCCGCTTGATTTGCAATTTAACGACCCAATCGCCGCGTTCAAGAGCAAGACCACCACGGAGCTAATGCGCGCCTACATCGTTTACCAGATGTGCTCCATCGAATACATCGTGGAGAACAATATGAAGGTGAGTGTTGCGTGTGTAAACGTAATATACATTCCGTTCCGTCAAGCCGCCGGCCGCGCTGACGTGAACCAATGCTAATTTCTCTCAATTGTACGTGAATTCGGTTGGAAATGTAAACGTATCGTAAGTTTCTGCCGTCAGCTACATTGTGGTTAGAATAATAATTAAAAAGGAATAGCGGAGCGCTATTTGTAAGTTAGCTAGCTGACTCAAACTGGACGGTCGGACCTGAATCGCTCTTTCTTCATTTGTATTTCTCACATTTTAATCTTTGCCTTTTTCTAATATGAATATATACATGTATCCCATTTCTAAAACAAAACAAAAATCTTAAAAAAAACGCGAACAATTTCTGTTTGCCATTCAAAGATTGCCACGAGTTCGGTCGAATTCGGTAAATTTTCTCTATGAAATCGATTTAGGAATATATAAAATATTTTTTTGCAGCCGATTGAAACAAATATGACGCACGCGATGTTTTATTTGTGATTCTCATGTATAACCGTGATATAATTAGCCTTTCCGGTAGTAGCCAGTTACCGTTTCTCTCACTTTGGGAGATCCGCGTTGGCGATAAGTACCTGTCGTACGTGCATAGAAGTTATATATTAAACGAACTTCGGACTTGCAGTCTTGCAATCTTGCAAGTCCGAAACACGCAACGTAAACAATACTCTATTAATTTGTCAATATTGTAATTCAGATCGTGCGTGAATTTGCGCGCTCATTAACTTCCTGCAAAGCTCTTAAGTATATACGCATAAGCAATAATTATGCAAAGAAGGTCTTTCTTACATCTTATTCTTCATAATTAATCATCATTGCGATGAATCATCAGTTTGATAAGATGTGTTAATTGTGCTGAACAATCAGTAGCGCGAGTCCCGTGCATTACATGCATATGATATAATCAATGTCGCTACGATGAGGTAAATAACCGCTTCACGCCGATACGAGTTGGCACTAACCCCGGTTAACATAACATTTCTTCTCTAACGAATTATCTAGAAACGCGTCACGTGCGATTGCGGTAATCTGAAAGAGGACATCTGCCCCGAGATTGATTGTCGAATCAAAAATAGCCCCGATTCAATAGAATTGGACCGTGCAGGTGAGACAGTTCCCGTGGGAATCCCGTTTTCCGGTAGATCCCTCAAATCGTATCGTTTGCGATACGTCGGTTCTCGAGTTTCCCAGAAGGCGCGCTCAAATATCGATCACGCAGTTTTTTATTGCGCTTTTTTGAACGTAAAGACCCGGTGATAAATCACTTACGCATCACGATTTATCGCGACGCGATAATGCGATCTTGAATGTAACTGATAAGGTCCTGGTGAGTTTCGAAAAAAACCCACCGGAAACTTAGTTCGCTTTGTCCTTTTTTTTCCTCTACTTTGGAACTTGCGTAACACTTTGCACGCGTTTTGCATTTAAGGTTCGCTCCGACGACGAGACGCGACAGAGCGCGTCGTTATTGATTTCACTATTGCCGGACATATCGGATCGACCTAGGAATTTTGCCGCGGACCATTGTTGCCGCTGGACAATTACATAATTCCCGTCTAACGAAAAACGATGTGTATCATATGCGGAATTCAAATGTGTTTCCTCACTAGTTAAGACAATTACCGTCGAACTTTTTCCATTGTGGTACCGTAGAAGTTTCCAGGCGTCACACATTGCTAATTATGCCGCACCTTCACTGCTTTGAAATTATTATTAACTTAATTGCCATTTAATTGATTTCCAGTAATCGTTGAAAATTGTGTTAACATTTGCCGCAGACTCAGTTGAATAAGAAATTAATGGTTATTTCCTTCTGAGTCTGTGCATAAGAGGAAAACTTTTGCCGCGTTGACAAAAATGGTATTTCTTATACATATTTGTATGTTTTTAAGTTCTTTAGCATAAGAAATAATTTGTTGATATATTTTTCTCACATTTTTACAAAGTGAAAAAATTGGCACGGTTTCAAACAAGCGGTTTGTAGCTCATGCGAACGTCTTATAAGTGCTTATGGTAAATACCAGTCATTTATCTTAATTGCACTCGTAAGTGCGTTACGCGATATAGAAAACATTTGACACATTTTAATTATCTTACGTAGTTTTACAAATGTAGAAAACCCGTTTCAGTGTTTCTATGCATTTATGTATTTCACGCATTCATGTCTTACTAGAGCAAACTGTAAATATCATTCAGGCGTTGATTTTAATTAGACTCACGTACAATTGCGAGGATTAGAGTTTCGTTGGAGAGATAATTGACCGTACGTGTTTTTAATACGTTTAAAATAAGTTACAAAATACAAGTCTAAATTTCACAAGAAACACAATGTAATTATGCTTATTTTTTTGCCAAGTCAACTTCAAGTTCATCGCGTTAGATTTTTCACAGTTCGGATACAATCGGTGCATAGAAACATCTTAACATCGCGCGCGCAACAAAATCGCCGTTTTGCCGAACTTTACGTAACACAAAATTCGTTACGTGCACTCCATTACTCATTGCGGAGTTGTGCATGCAATCATTCGATAAATCATCCCGCCGGATGTAAGTGGTGCGCCGTTTGATTATTTCGGTTGTTGAACGAGACATAATTCACGGCGCGACGCTAATTGTTAAATTGTTTACGATGACGTTGGGCGGAAAATATATTTTTTTTCTCGGAAACCGCGATACTCGGTTCGACACGAGCGAATTATTTTTCCATCTCTCGTACTTCCGTATCGATCGCACCCGTTCAATGACGGCTCTTCGTCGCCGCGAAACGCAATAATTCTCATTGCAGACGAGAACGATATTAGGCCGCGGATTTACAGGCCGAACGTATTTTTAATGGATTACAGGAAGCCATAAACGCGCGAATGAAAAGGATATGAGAAAACGGTTCGGTTTTCCGCAATAATCGCGCTGACTTGTAATTATTACAACTGTACTTTGCGGACTTTATCACGTGGTCTTATCGTCTGATACTGATTGTAGATCTCGCAAAAGGTACATAAATGGGCTCTAATTGCGTATATTGAACAATTAATTTATTTAAAAAGTAAGTAACAATGATCTTTCCGACAGCGAATAATTTAATAAAATAAATATGTCAGTATCTTTTAACTTAAATCACCAGTCATTTGTAGAAAGCTTTCCCAGCTTTAGATGTTTTTCAGTCTTAATCTTCGGAGTTGGGGATTATGTGAGAAAAATCTATAAAAGAAAGAATGTTTTGAGTCGGTCCCCCGGAATTGTGAGAAACGTAGAGATACTTATAGCATTCTTTGTGAGATCGAAACGAAAAATGCAGGAGGGCAACGTGCTCAGGGCGTGCTGTGCCATGTGGACATCACTTGTCGGCACCCGACAGTGCAATCCTAAGAATCTAACATTGTTTTTACAAACCAGACAGCTATACTAGGGGTGCGTTCCACTTAACGCCCGCAACGCTCCTAGAATCATTTTATCCTCGTTTAACTTTCGATGAAAAACAAGGATAAAATGATCCTAGGAGCGTTGCGGGCGTTAAGTGGAACGCACCCTAGGTAATACAATGCATTTTCATGTGTCGTTGACAAAGGTCGCATCAAACCCTTGTTAAGATTAAGTCAGTGAAATAACACGTAAAAGGAAAAACGATCTTTTTGAAAATAGAGATATTTTGTAGAAAATAAATTACGGTCAGACAGTTTTATTATTATATGGATTTAGAGAAATTATTATTATGGATTTAGGAATTATTATTATATATGGATTAGAATATGGATTTATTTCTTTCCTTCTTTTCTACTTTCTTTTTTATATTGTTTGCTGATATTTTATAACAGACAGATACGGAAACGCCTTGTGTATAAGATCGATATCGAGTCTTCGTACATTGCTACGCAAATAAATCGGGTCGGCGCGCGAGTTCTCCTCACATCTTCCGGATTATTGTGCATACACGTCCTGCTGATCTCGTTATGCAACTGGTGCAATGCATAGCGCGTCGGTCGAAGGCGTCGTCCCGTCTACTATACTTGCTTCTTGCCACACTCGCACATTGATTAATCTTTCGAATCGCTTTTTTTTTTACTTCACCGGCTTCTCGTTACTTTTATCCTTCTTCGCACCTCGATTGCAGTCGTCAACCTGTAATATTAAGCTTCACATCTCTTATTCCTTATCTGAACCATTTATCGTTAAGTTGGAGAAATTCCAATTCCCAAAAGTAGATCACTTCAAGTAATCGAATTGGATCTGGGATTTTCCGTGAAGCGTTTATTTCGTACTCCGTGCGAAGTCACTTATGAAACATTATCAGATTTTTTTCGAGGCTGACGTTGCAGCGCTTTTGCATTATGTTTCAACTCGGCTGTCTGGCGTGGCAGTTGAACAAACAAACCGACATCCCAGGCGACATTTCTTCTTTCAGCGTGTTTTTCCGCATGGTCCTACGTTGTAGAAATTTTTATTTTATTTTAGAAGTCCTACGTTCTCTTGACTCTGGACTTTCCGTTGGTCCCGGCACGCACACGTGCCGCCTTCCGGTCGGCATGACGTAGTGCGCGTCGAAAGTAGTCATGAATCAATTATACAGGGTGTTCCATATGTGCGTGCGAGAAACGAATTGACTAACGATACGTTAGAAGTAATTTCAAGGTCATCCAGTTTGTCGGACGTCTTGCTCGACCTGTGCCAGGAACGAACGAACGAATAGACAGATAAATGGACTAGGTTCGAGTGGATCGTCGGCTCGATAGAACCAGTCGCCTAATACCTGTTCTCAGACTTCTCGATCTTTTTATTCTGAGAAATTTTAAAAATATATCTTAAGAATCACTAGTATTGTAAAGCAATAGAATAATAATAGAGATAAGTAAAAAATAATAAGTCAAAAAGATAATGTCATGAGATATTTCGCAGCTATGGAAAAGTTTATTAAAGTTTACAGAGTCAGAATTTTAGAATTAGTCTCGAATCGCCAAGGAAATTTTACTCATAATTCGTTTATTTTTTTTCACATTATTATAGCGACGAAGAATCATCTCAAACAGTATTGCAATTCAAAATGCATCTGTTCGATTTTTGTCTCGCGAAAAAAACAGATAAATTCGCTCGTTTGTATTAAAAAAAAATTAATATAATTAAATTAAAATTGATTTAAAACTCGAATAAATTGATAAATTTTAATTGAAGTTTGCATGATCCGCATATTATTATCGACAATCTATGCGTTAAAGAATCTGGAATAATGCGTATCATTGGGACACCCTGTATACTTCAATCGATGATGTAGATGCTTAGATTAAGATGGCTAACGGAGTTTTAAAAATAGTCGCTTCGTCAATAACGATCAGTGATTTCTGAATCGAATTGTTACTATCGGCGTCATGATATTCCAATTGTGTTACGTTTACCATCGTCTCTTATCTGCGTCAGAGTTTTCTCGTGTGTTTATGTACAGACGCAAAATATAAAATACTCATGTAGCATTATATGCGATGGCACATCACTACTGACCTTCACGTCAATACCAAATAATTTAAAGTACGGAAAAAAATTTTTTTCCGATATCAATTGATATCTTACAATCAGAATCGAAATCACGCTAATGATAAGTGAGCGCTATTAAAAATCGAGTGATAAAAATCGCTATTAAATTTTGAATGCCGAAAAATGCTGAGTTACCGGTTATAAAATTAATTGAGACAACGATCATAAGTGCATATACGCTAACGAGATTAAAATAATAAATCAATTCTATATCATTATAATGACGCATTTGAGTTTCAAGGTGTTGCAGTCCGCAATTTTTCTACATCACTCGCGTAAGCTCGAATTGCAATCTGCGTATCACCGCGCCGCACTATCGTGTTCTCGTGTTACGCTATCGACCTGTCTAGAGCGAGACGTAGACTATAGTTCGATAACCTTAAAAAATATATTTCTCTTTACTCAAACTAAAAAAAATATATGTAATTATTTGTAATAAAATATGCAAAAATATCCGCAATATAAATAAGAAAGCATTAATTCGGTCATAGAATAATATTTCATTTTAGTTACCTGAGCAGATTTCGAATTTTGCTGGTTGCAATTGTGTAATAGCACTTTCGAAGAATGTTTATGCCGAGGCGTGCGAGCTAATCCGACAATTTTGGCACACAGCAGCGAGCATGACTAGATAACATAATGACATAGCCGACATCACTACAGCCTACAAATCCCTTTAAATTCACTCTTATTAAAGTGAGAGGCTAATCAACTGAAATATATTCGCGCAATCAGTGCTGTTACAATTCAAGTTGCTATTAAATATTTTAATAATATATTTTAAACATATACTATTAAATCTAGATATAGTTAAATATCTAATTATTATATATTTTTCGTCGTCTAAAGAATGCGGAGGTAATGCAAAATTTATGGAGCAGTTTGTATGTATTTAACGCAGTCTGCTTAGGCTTATCAATAAGTACATAACGCGGGCAAACTTTAGTAAGCTCTTCAGAAGACTCTTCAGTTTGACAAACATAACAATGACTTAAGTGACGCGATTGAGTACATATTCAACGGACGTTTGTATAATGGTTGACCAGTTTATTTAGTACTTGAAAATTTATATTTTCAGTTTGCTTTTTATCAGTTTGCTTTTATGCAAATTATCAGTTTCAAATTATCCGTAATTATAATATCATGCGATCATAATTATGCAATATTTTTTCCCGCATAAAGTGATTCAATTCTTATTAAATGCGAATATGTTTTGCATTTGTATGTGTAAATAAATTAAGAATCAGGAAAGTTTTTTCCTGATAGTGAAATCTTTCTGTTATCTCTTACTACATTGTTTTTTTTATCGCAATTCGCTGCAAATATAAGGAAAATATATATTGTTATTTTACTCGTCACTTACGTGACTTATAAGCATAGAATGACGTTAAAATTAGAATCGTTTCGTACCTCGTCGGCTGTAAAACATTTCTGCTATCTCTTACCATATTGGTCGTTTTTTATCGCAATTTTTTGCATATGGAATGGAAAATATAAATTGTGTTATTTTACTCGCAGCAGCAAGTATGTTTTGCATTTGTAAGCTGTATAAATAAATCGAGAATCAGGAAAGTTTTCCAGGACGATAGTGAAATCTTACGAATGACGGTAAAATTAGAATCATTCCGCGCCTTGTCGCTTGTAAAACATTTCTGCTACCTCTCGTTGCATCCCAATCTTACTTCTACGATTTCATCTGGCGAAACCCAACCGGATCGATAAGGGGAACGATTGCAATCAACAATTTTTCCGCCTGTCAACATTTCTATCTTAATTGCCCGACTAATCACTCTCTTCTTTCTGTTTAAGCTCGCGTTACGTACTTATCTTTATTTATTTAGCAGATTTGTCGAAACATTACTACGTTTTTGCCAAATCATATCATGCGCCAAGTTTATCCTTATCCGAAAATCCATTTAATTCGCTTCCTTCTTTAGAGCGAATTAAGCACTTTTTTCCATATCACAAACTTTTTGCAGCGATCAATAATTTATTCTTTTAAATAAAATATAAAATAGGTGACGTATTTATGAAATAAGATTGCGATAAAAAATACTTAAGCATCAAACAACAATTTGACACCGCAACGGAATAACGGTTTCCATGCCTATTATATCTAATAAATGTATTTGATTGACGCGTTACTCTTATGACGGTCAAACGTTATGAATCGCGACGTTATGAATCATGGGATGTAAATTACAGATTGTTATCAGCGTCGGACGTCCGTCCGCTAATTAAATCAAGCTTTAACTTATTTGAATACTTATATATTCGTTTGTATATCGCGTATCGCTATTAAAAAGATTTAATTAAATCTTAAAACTGTAATTTGTATGCATCACAAACGCGCATTTTTTGTTTCAAAAAGTAATGAGATTTAAATAATATCAGAAAATTATGAAAGTTACGGTTTTCTTCAATCTAAATGCATCTTATATGTGCAGTCCGTTCGTAACAGCTGTAATGTTGCCTTCTTTTTTTCTGAAGAATCTTAGATTCTTTTGTATTTTGTGTATAATATATGTTCTATTTTATACATGTATTTCTGTTAACCGCTGACATTTAACGGAAGGCGAAATCAAGCGGTTCATGGCGCATACTGGTGGAGCGTGCATTTCATTCCTTAAAAGATCGATATTCAGGAACCATTTAGGTCGCGTAGTGCCCACGTTCTCGACTCTGAGCGGTTACATAAGCCATACTCTACATAAGTCAAGCTAAGAATTAGCTGTAAATTTATTTTTACATTTTTCTTTGTATTCATATTGTGTTGAGCTACGTTCATGTCAGTCTCGTGATCACAATTCCTCTTGAATATTTGAATAGTAGGTCACGTTGCGAAATAATACGAAAAAATATTATTTAACTTCTCTGGGTCATTGATCTAGTCACTGATTTATTCATGCTACATCTCTACATCTCTACATTTTTTATCTCATTTTGATATTTTTTTCCTAAAAAGATAATGTAAATATCAATAAGAAAATAATAAAACATATATTTTAAGGGGTACAAAATTATTATATTTGCATTAAATATAGACTATAATTTTTATATTTTATGATCAAATTAAATTAAAAGGTTAAAATAATTCGTTGCATCTTACTTTTCTTGGCAAAAGCATTGTACATTTCGCACTTTTGTACTTCTTGTAAATTGTATTAATTTAATAGCAAAATCTGCGATAATATTGAATGCCGCATATTTGATTGTTTGAATTTTTAATTGTCAACAGTTCATGAAGCTGACAAAAATGTTGTTGGGCGAAAGGCTGTTCACGAGACTCATGAAGGCGACGTTTTACGGTCACTTTGTCGCTGGGGAAGATGAAGTACAGATCACCCCTGTCTTGGATAGACTGCGACAGTTTGGCGTCAAACCGATTCTTGATTATTCCGTTGAAGAAGACATCTCGCAAGAGGAGGCCGAGCGACGTGAACTCCAGTAAGCACGATCATTGATCGTGTCGCAGATTAATGTCTACGCGTAATGTGAAGCTGTAGCACCCTCATCACAAAAAGAGTAAATGGGATTTATATCAAAATTTAGAGCGATTTATATGCTAATTTCGTGCTCTATTTCAAATTTTCACTGTAAAGCCTTTACAGGAAAAAAAGTGCCTTATAAAATCAGGATAGGTTTTATCCGCAAAATGTTCTCTGATTTTACTCGCTTAAATTGTTGAATGTTTATTTTTTTATTTTCTATATTATTCTAGCTGGGAATGCTAGCTTCACGTAAAACTAGCACACCCATTTCCAATCACAAATTCCTACTAAATGACTGGGGCACTAAAATTGAAAATAGAACACGAAAATGGCTTTTAAATAGCAAACCATTTAGGTATAAATCTCAATTCAATATTTTGTGATGGAAGTGCTAGCTTGATAGACGTCGCACATTAATTTCTTGATATTTTAATTCTTGTAATAATGTTCTTATGAAAGTAGCAAATTGTCCTGCTACTCGAATTTCTTCATCAAGTATGGAATTTAATCTTATACGCATCAGTCACCACACATTTTTCAACGAATGCACGCTAATATCAGACAGTTTTCTGTTTATGTTTACTTATCTTTATCTTTTCGCGCGAAGGAGAAACCGTACTTCAATTTTCGTCAATGCATGCAACTGAAAATTTTTCTTATCTTGCAATATTGATTAAAGAGGAAAAAAAGAGGGAAAAAACCATTAAAAAGATCATTTTGTACCAAACGCGAATACAACTGCGGAGATAATAAGTATTCAAACAAATGCCGAATATTTAGTATTTTTCCATTTCAGAGCTTCAGTGTCAGAGGCGGGCGACGAGAAAAGAGAGGGACCGCTAAAGAAGTACCATGTGGAGAAGTCGTTTGCCGATCGGCGATACAAGGTGTCATCGGCCAGGACATATTTCTACTTGAATGAAGCGTCCTGCGAGCGAAACATGGATATATTTGTCAGGTGTCTGGAGGCTGTGGCGAGTGAGTCACAGATTTTATTTTTAGATTTCCAACATTCTAGTCCTTCTTAATCCCCGACTGACTTTCTATTCTTCTCGTTTAGTTGCGCGTTGAACTATGTAGAACGCATAATTAGATCTAACGTTGACTTTTCACTCGAGTACTCTTTCGTAATTTGAAGCTGTTTTTAAGTTTAAAGTAAAACAAAGAGAATGTTTTTCAATGATTAAAATATAAGTTAGAAATATTCGTTTTTTTTTAATTTCTTTTACTTTTATCTACTCTACAATTTACTATGCAAATAGAGGAAATGCAAACGAAGATTCAATTCGCACGAAATGCCGCGACTGATTCCTATCGCAATATTCGGGCCTATAAAACCAGATCTTTTGACCTTCTTCGGATACTCAAACAATGCAGATGGTCAAACGAGTCGCATATTGCCGCCGTACTTGGAACTTGATATTACGATATTACGATTCGACAAGATCAGTGCAGAATTGAATCTTTACGTAATCGTTATTTTGCGAATGCGATTATCGTCGATGATTACACGGGGATTAATGTACGCCACGATATTCATTAATTTCCGAACGTTTATAAATAGTTAATCAAATGCGAGCAAACAATTACAAAATTAACGAATTAAATTATTTAATTACACAATAATATTGAATGAGATGAAATGAAATTGAATTAGTACAATTCAACATGGCAAAGTTATTTCTAGAAATTAATGCAATTTAATATCGCAGGGGTGATCGCGTAATTGCAAGGGTGCGACGGCTGACGTCACGAAGCTGTGTGCAAAATCGATCGCTGCCCTCGGCAAATTTTCGGTTCTTATTATCGCGAAAGCGTACGCGTTTCTGGCAAGAGTATCACGCTTAACACTATGTAGACACAAAAGCTTGTTGAATTGTAGAGGAAAGACAGAATACAGTGCAATCCCTCGTCGCGGCCAAGATGATGGCGATAGATCTTTCGAAATTCCGCGAGTCAGAGAAGCGCAGTCCCTCGGCTATAAATATCTGTACACGAATGGATCATCGTTCGCACTTTCCACCCAAAATATATGACATAACGCGTCGAAAACATGCAAACATCCACGAATATTGATTAATACTTCAAAATTAAAGAAAAAATCGATATCATAGTGTGGCCTTTAAAAAAAGAATTTTGTGCATTTTTGCAGAGGATGAAGTTAATACTTTGCAGCTGAAGTACCCTAATCAGAATATTACCACTAATATCCAAGTCGATCCCCATCCTGGTAAGGAGGCGCACCTTTCCTACATTATCCTTAATTATCCAGATCCTGAAATATCAAGCGCTTTTTTGTGCACTTTTTTTAATCGAAAACAATAATTAATTTCCTTAATATTAAATACAATATTAATATGGTGTAACACGACTTTGTCTTTGCAGGTGCTTCGATGGGAATGGGCATTACAGCTGTTAAGCTAACGGCACTCGGTCGGCCGCAGCTTCTGGTTAGTAATTCTTTTTACTAATGACTTTAATTGCAAACCTGTAATTAACGAAATGATTGTATTTCAGCTTCAATTGTCGGAGGTAATTATGCGCGCACGGCAGTACATGTCGGACGTTATTGGCGGCGAGGGTGCCATTCTGGCTCATCACGTGAAGCCTGATGACTTCAGAAAAAAGTTCGAAGAGGCGCAAATCAAAGACGAGGCGTCGGTGCAAAAGTTCCTTCAGAAAATTCAATCCGATAAGGAAGGGTATGCGCGCAATTGCAATCGAGATCTCTAAATAGAGTTTTAGTATTTACACCGAGTAGTATTGTAAACGATAGGTTAATTTTTGTCCACGCAGTGTGATCCATCTGTTTCCATGGAGCGGTATTTTAGATGAAAATTATGAGCTGAGCGAAGCTTTCCAAGTACCTGATATTAAAACAGGCAAGATGGTCAGGCTAATGTCGCAGCTTACGTCCAAAGAGGAGGAAATGTTTAGAAATATGATCCGACGTCTAAATAATATTGTATCGGTGCGTTTCTGGCGTTATAAAATATCTCTATCGATTTTGTGGGGTTTGATAATTAAACAAGTAATTCTTTTTTTCTTTTAGGTGGCCGATAGTTTAGACGTTCGTATTATGATAGACGCTGAACAGACATATTTCCAGCCGGCCATTTCTCGCTTGACGTTGGAGATGATGCGCAAGTACAATACGAAAAAGGTAACGCTTTAACGTTTTCATGAGATTGCGACGTTATCACTTAGCTACTTTTCAGTGAATGATATTCTCACTGCCAAATGTCGGTCTACTTCTCAGGCTGTGGTATTCAACACGTACCAAACGTATCTGCAAGACGCGTATAACGAGGTAAAAACGGACCTCGAACAGGCGGAACGCCAAAACTTTTACTTTGGTGCTAAAATTGTTCGCGGCGCTTACATCGAGCAGGTTGGTAGATCTTTTTTTTTCGCGAGATCTATTGAACGGAGTGAAGTACGGATCGATTCTTGTTCAGGAAAGGGCTAGAGCAGCAGCTATGGGTTATCCAGACCCGACAAACCCTACGTTTGATGCGACGACTGAGTCCTATCACAAGACACTCATGGAGTGTCTTAGGCGGATGAAACAATATAAGGACAAGGGAGAAGATCCCAAAAAAATTGGGATCATGGTTGCCTCACATAACGAAGACACTGTGCGCTTCGCGATCGAGAAGTGAGTGATCGTTATGATTTTATCTATCTTTGTTTACGTTGTAAACAATATAAAATAATCTTCCTGCGTCATTTTAGAATGAAAGAAATTGGAATCTCACCGGAAGATAAAGTGATATGTTTTGGTCAATTGTTAGGAATGTGTGATTATATAACATTTCCATTAGGTATGTAACAATTCCTCAAATCTTAGTATTTTTAGGTAAGATGAGATAAAATTCACATCGATTTTAACTGAAATTTCTAGGTCAATCCGGTTACTCTGCCTACAAGTACATCCCGTACGGGCCGGTTAAAGAGGTGCTACCGTACTTGTCGCGACGCGCGCAAGAGAATCGGGGCATACTGAAAAAGATTAGGAAGGAGAAACGCCTGCTTTTGAGTGAAATCACGAGACGTATAGTGCGGGGCAAGCTATTTTACAAACCCAAGGGCAATTATACTCCGGTTTGAGCAGTTGATCCGATTAGTTGCACAGACAGAATTTTAAGTATCAAATTTAAGTAGTGGTTGTAAATTATTGAGAACTCTTGAAAGACCTCGATGCGAGCACTTCGGATTGAAGTAGCCGATTAAAGTAAACCTGACGGACTTGTTATTGTGGTACTCGGAAGAGAGGAGCGAGCGTGAGTGTGTGTGAAACTTCAGGGTATACGCAGTGTTATCCATGCAAAAGTCGCCTCAGTACATTGTTAAATGTACCGATGCTCAATGTTGTTTGGTAGGACCATGCATATTGCTCGTTTCGTTCGTCGTTGTCGAAGAGGTTGCCGTTGACTGTGCTACGGTTAATTTTACTCGCGCGAGAATATTCCAGTGTTTTCATACTCCAAAATTAACGATAACTTTTTTAATTATAGCCTATAATATTTTCTGCACAGTATTAGGGAAAGTACGGACCGGATTGACAGCTTTTATCATCGCGAAACGCGATAGAAAACGGACGTTGATTTTTTAAACACTTTCTTGCGCTCTTTTCCAATTTTTATTAAAATTTCTTGAAGAATCTCGTCGAATACTTTCCATATGTACATAACACCCGCGCATCAATTATTATTTATGATTCATGTTCACACCTGATATTGTCCTATCGTCCACAATTTCTGTAAAAAAAGGAGGAAAGAAAAGAAACAAGAACACCGCGTATGAATATTTGAATGTAACTGCGATTTGCTACCGTTTCAAGGTATTGTCACTCACGAAGGAATATGTCTGGAGAATATACGGTATTGGTTGCAGATCGAGCGAGCCGCATATGTGACGATATATGCTCATGCATAATTACGGTGACAATGAGAACCGAGTTTTGCAAA